CCCCCCCCTCCCGTCCTCGCATGATCAGTATCGCACCACCCACCCATCACGGCCTACCATATCAGCAATGAGAAAGCTGGCGTATCTCTCGAGGGCCATTCTGCTCAAAAGACCTCCTTCACTGGTCGGTCGATCACTGTTAAGCAGGTCGGTCATGCCATCTTGAGAGTTCAAAGGAAGGACGCGCAAGGTGGAGAGGATCTCTATCTCATCACCCTGCCTCAACTCAGCATCGAAGGCATCCTTTGGGGCGCGCCTTATATCGAGCTATCGTGAGTCGCATGGCCATAAAATCAGAGCGATCTCGACGAGAAAGCTAGCTTCGAAGCGCCACGCGAGCGATCATGACCTTCATGGCGCTGTGCCGTGGCTAAATTGGTAGTTGGCGGAGCGCGGAAACGCAAGGCTTCTCGATGTCGCCTTCATGTCATGGTCCGCGCCATGCTCACTGGTGATGCATTCTCTCCGCAGAGGCGCAAACCACATCATCAGCAGCACAGGATACGCAGCTACGATCAACTATACCGGCAAGGGTTACTTTTCCGGCAAAGCTCACTCCTTCAAGGCCAGTATTGCGCCCACGTCCAAGCTTGATGCAGTGCTGTACAGCGCAGAGGGAGAATGGTCAGGCGTGAGCAAGTGGAAGAAGGCACCACCTGGACAAGACTCGGTGTTCTGGGATGCGAACAATGACAGGAGAGAAATTCAGGTGCAGCCTTTGGAGAAACAGGGAAAGATGGAGAGCAGAAAAGTTTGGGAAAAGACGGCAGAGGGAATCAGGAGCGGCAATTATGATGCCGCGAGCAAAGATAAGAGCAGGATCGAAGTGAGTTTGGGATGCGATGCGCGGAACATGGTGCTTTTGCGCAGACAAGACATACACTCCTTCGGGCACATTCGAGAGGCTAGCTTACGCATCGCATTGCTCCTTCCATGTCCACAGAACGAGCAAAGAGCTAAGCGCAAAGAGGAGACTGCAAAAGGGACACCTCATCAGCTGGAGATGTTCGTTCATGTTCCCGAGGATCAAGAGTGTGAGTCGAGCCGTGGGGGGTTGCACGCGAGTCTTTGC